AGGACTTGACTAAGATAATAAATAGCCCATTAGACATCATTTTCATCCTCTTGAGAAAGTATGCTCCCTATAGTTACATTACACACAGAAATATACAACCTCATACTCTTACTTCTATAAGGAGGCGACAAAATTGGACGAAAAAGATAATCTTTAATTTTGTTGAAAGCTTCCTACTACGCCTGTCCTCATTCAAAACCTTCCTTCTCAATGAAGTAGAAGAGAGAAGGCATGAGTCTTGCAACTTAAGTTTGAGATGAACCTCATTAGGAAGTTGATCTTTCCCAACAATGACTATAGATTCTTTGTTGATGGTGCTTTCGCCTCCATAATTTCCTTGGTCTTATTTTGATTGATTTCAATCCCCTTTTTATGGACCACAAAGCCTAAAAAATCTTTATTCTACACAAAACGCATAATTGAGAGGATTCATCTACAGGCCATGCTTTCTCATCCTTTCGAATGACTGTCGAAGATGATCTATGTGATTTTTTCCTGACACAGACTTGACAAATATATCATCAATTTAAATTTTCATAAATGTTTCTCTAAAATCATGAAAGATGGAATTCATTGCTCTTTGGTAGGTTGCTCCAGCATTTTTCAAATCAAAAGGCATCACTACCCACTCGTAGGTGCATAAGGCTCCAGAGCATTGAAATGTCGTTTTTGGCACATCTTCCTCAACAATGAATATTTGATTGTATCCAGAATATCCATCGAGCATACTAAGATACTCGTAGCCTGCGACGAAGTCGACAAGAATCTATGCCATAGGCATTGAATATTCATCCTTTGGGGTCGCAGCATTCAGATCTCTAAAGTCCCATTCTTTTTAATGACGAGAACTATATTAGCAATCCAGTCAACATACCTTATTGTGTGGATGAAATTACACTTGGGGAACCTTTCGACTTCTTGCTTGATCTTCGACAAGATTTCTGGCGCAAATCTCCTTGGAGTCTGTTTAATTGGCTTTCTTCCAGACTTGATATGTAACTTCAGTTCCACCAATTCTCTACTCAGTCCAGGGATCTTATCATAATCCCAAGGAAAATAGTCTCTGTACTCCTTCAGAAGTTGGATCACTTCAACTTTGAGTTCTGGGCCAAGGTTGGTACTTATATACATTGGTCTTTTGACTGTTCCTTCCCCTAAATCAATTTCCTTTAGGGGATCCTGCACTATCATTTTTATATTGGGTGCCAGCGGGTCCCTTTTGAATCCTAAAGGCTCATCATCATAGACGGCATCGAGCCTCTGGCTTGGCGCCTCGTTTTGAATCTTATCAGGTGGCTCTGGTTCGAAATCTATCCTAGGGCCTTTGAGGTGCACATCGGTTTTGTTAGCTTCGACAACCATATACTTAACTTCGACCTCTAAGGTCGCCTTTAGTCTATTTTCGGCTATATAAGCCGAAATAATTTCAAATGTTTTAGACTCAGACATACTCATCATCTTTGTCTCCCTAACTAGTTGGCTAGAGGCCTGATGTCCCTTCGAACTCAAGGTCTTCTCCTACGACCTCTCTATCCCATTGAAAACCATAGGTTGAATATAGATGAAGGGAGTAAAATGTTGTATCAGTAGGCGCAAATGCAAACCCAACAGAGCTGCATGGAGAAATGTTCGCCGGATTTGTGTCGAAATGACACTTATCCACAAGATTAACCTCAACATAAAATAACTTTGGTCAGCCTCAATGTTTTCCACTATACCACCATTCCTCCATATAGAGATCCTTTGGTGAAGCAAAGAGGGTACTTCTCCGATGTCGTGTATCCACTCACGGCCCAAAAGCAGGTTATAATTAGCCTTTGACGCAATAACCATAAACATGGTTGACCTATTGATAGTATATATTGTTAAGCCCACATGGATTACTCCCAAGGTGTGGCCAATTTTCCTCCATAATTCAACAACACCATGTTATGGGGTTTGAGATCTGTGTCGAATTTCCCAATTTTCTTTAACATAAAGTGTGGCATCAGGTTTATTGTCGCATCACCATCTACCAGAATTTTTTGATTCCTACATTCTCCACCTTTCCCCCTAATGAAAAGGGGTTTCAAATGATTCTTCATTGCTTCATCAGGTCTTTCGAAGAAAGCATTATGTTCTTCAACACAACCATTATTCATTATACAGTAACATACTGGTCTATGTTTGGCCATTTCTGCCTCAGTAGCTTCCTTAGACTCTTTGAACTTCATGACTTGGTCATATTCTACTGGCAGCACAGAGACCACATTACAATTGATGTCTAAAGAAGGCTCTGATCCTATATTGAAGTTATTTGTTATCATGTCATCATCCGTCGTTGGTTATTCAGATTTGTCTTCAGATTCTTCTTTTCGAGTGGGAAAAGCTTCCTCCCTACTGGTTTTTTATATTCTCCTTTATCCTTCTTTGGAGGCTGGTTGGTGCTAGACTCCTTCATCGCTTTCTCGCTGGCTTCTCTTTCTTCTTTCATCCTTCTTTGTTTCCTTCGCCACTGATACCTTGACATGGGATTCTTGCCCTTGTAATTCTCAGATCCATAAGTTTGTTGTCTTGACACTTGGAACTCCATACGATAGGCTATTGAGAAGCCTCAACCCACCTAAAAAATTTGTCATTTCTCTTGGCCTCGCTCTCTCTTCTCAGCAGGCTTCACCCATCTTCCTCTGGGAGCGTCAGCCGTTGGCTTAAAAGTAGATAGCCTGAAGGCTTATACCTCATTGTTCCTGCCTTTGAGAGACTCCCTTTTTGTCGAAGGTGTAGTAATTGCGGGTATTCTTCCAATTTCTTCTGCGACCAGCCACTCAAACTCTCTCTATGCTCTCCATAGCCTTTTTGTCGAAGACAGAACTGCACCTAGGGTGCAAAATCACTTCAGACTTCTTTTGTTGGCAACAGTGGAGGAACTTCACTAAGTTTTCATCATTCCTTGGGTAAGCCACCTTCACTTGTTCTTCGTTTCGTTGGGTGCTTTCCTCGTCAGCCTCCATCTCAGTCTCTTTGCTCACTTCGACCATGTTAACTTCCAAACTGGTGCCATCAATGATCTTCAACTTTTGTAATTTGATTCTAAGGCCCTCAGTAGCCTCAGCCATGTTGGTTTCCTGATTGAAACCCTTCGTGGTTTCGATCATAAAGGTATTCTTGTCAAGACCTTCAGACATTTCGACCATGTTGACAATGGCAGGCTCAGTGTAATGGGCATCTGCCACCTGCAGAGAGTTAGACTCAATCTTCATATGGGACTTAGCTTTGTCTCCAAACTTCAGTCTATCATCCTTAATTGCATTCTGCACCAGATCCCTGAAAAGAAAACACTGTGAGGTTTTGTGGCCCAAAATATTGTGATATTTACAAAAGTCTATTTTCTTTCATTGTTCTAATGGAGGTATTTTAGCGCCAATGGGCACTACCATTTGGCCATCTTTGACTAGTAAGTCAAAAATTTCGTCACACTTGGTAAGTCGAAAGTATATGTTTTCTTAAGGAATTTTTCATTCTTTTCCGGTTCGACAGGATTTTTCCTGTTCGAAGGCGCAAGAACCTTGCATGAATAAGATGACCCTTGTTTTAATTCGGCCAGGTCGATTTCACTTTCGTCGAGACTTAAAGGGTCACTATATGCTTCTTAATCATCTTCATCTAGTTCGACATATGTTACCATTTCTCTCCTATTATTCTTACTTGCTCTGGCTTTTTCAGCCTTCAAGCACTCTACCTGTCGAATTCTGTCAGCCAACTGGGTCATATCTCTCAAATATTGGGTGTCTAATTTCTTTCTGATGGAATAACCTAAACCACCAGCGGCTATCTCAACCAACTCGTGCTCAGGCACTTGTGTGAAACACCTTTCCTTTAGCAAACATAATCTATTGAGATAATCATCTATTGGCTCAGTGAATTTGTGCTTAATAGTAGCCAATTCCTTCAAACTAATCTTCGACTGCCCCATGTAAAATTGTTCATGGAACAACCTTTCGAGACGAGTCCAATTATAAATCGAATTCCCAGGGAGTGTATTGAACCATGTAAAGGCATTCTTAGTGAAAGAACTAGGGAAAAATTTTATCCTTAAATTTATGTTATTTGCAATGTCCCCTGCTTCAATTAGATACCTTGTCATATGTTCGACAATAGATACCTGCCCCATGTAAAAATTTGTTTGTTTGTATAAAAAAATGTTAACGCGCTACTAGCACATATGAATAATAACAAAAATATTAAATAAAATAAGTTTTAAAACAGGTAAATATACACTAGTTAGCAAAAAATTATGTTAAAAATAAATTATACGTTACTTATACAAAAAGTAAATAAACATTACTTATAAAATTAAATAAAAAATTGATTAATTTAAATTACCTAAATCACCGAATGATAACCCTTTCGCGTTTCTAATTATTGATTTCTATATAGACAGTACTTAAACCTAAATTAAAGTATCTCACTTATCTTCTCTTTTCACATTAAATAGGTGATTTAGCAGCGCAGTTCACAGCTACCAAGTTTTATTCATGGTAACCATTTTTTTCTATTATATTACAGAATTTGTTTTCTTTTTTTTGGTATGCTTTTCTATTTGTCTAAGATTTTGATATGAATTGTATCTTTATATGAATTTTGATCATAGGTTGCTTCAGAAACCTTAGCAACATTTTAAATCTCAAGGTTTTAATCAATATTGTCGTGTCATATGTTTAATATTATGGTGAATTTGTAGTTAAAGTAGACCTAAATCAAATTCAAATCATTGCTCTCACGATATTGAAAACCCTAAATTGCAAAACTTTTTCAAAAAAATACTATTCTGATTTTGTTCTCTAAAAATAAATTTTATTAAGGTTTAATTCATTGTCATGGTAATATTGTGGAGAATTTCACTTAAGGCGTGAGAAATTCTCCACATGCCGTCTGACATGTCGTTGTCCTGTCTGATATTTGTGTTTGTGTCAATTGTTGTTATGATGATGATGTTGATCTAATCCGTATTTTGATAACAGATGCCAAGTGTTATACCAAATCCATCCGACAAAGATTCAGAACCATTTGTCGAAACTGATCCGACCGGAAGATATGGAAGATACAACGAACTCCTAGGATCCGGCGCTGTGAAGAAAGTATACAGAGCATTTGATCTAGGAGAAGGAATAGAAGTAGCTTGGAATCAAGTTAAGCTCAGAAACTTCAGTAAGGACCCTGCAATGGTGGATAGGCTTTACTCTGAAGTGAGATTGCTTAGAAGCCTGACGAATAAAAACATCATTGCCCTTTATAGTGTTTGGAGAGATGAGAATGATAACACACTGAATTTCATTACTGAGGTTTGCACAAGTGGGAATTTGAGGGAGTATAGGAAGAAACATAAACATGTTTCTGTTAGGGCTTTGAAGAAGTGGTCTAAGCAGATTCTGGAAGGGTTGAATTATTTGCATGTTCATGATCCTTGTATCATTCATAGAGACCTCAATTGCAGTAATGTTTTTGTCAATGGAAATACTGGCCAGGTATAAAAATTCCCCTTTCTAACTTTCTAATTTAAAAGTTAGTTTCTATTACAAAAATAACAGACACCATATACATACATCTGTTTTGTTGAGAGGTATGAGTGTTGTGTATAGACACCTGACACACATTTGTTCAGAGATGTCGGTGTTGTGTCGGACACTGATACATGACAGACACCATACACACATTTGTTTTGTTCAGAGGTCTGGGTGTTATGTATAGACACCTGACACACATTTGTTCAGAGATGTCGGTGTTGTGTCGGACACTGATACATGACAGACACCATAGACACATTTATTTTGTTCAGAGATATGGGTGTTGTGTATAGACACCTGACACACATTTGTTCAAAAATGTCGGTGTTGTGTCAGAGACTGATACATGACAGACACCATACACACATTTGTTTTATTCAGAGGTATGGGTGTTGTGTATCAGACGCCTGAAACATATTTGTTCAGAGATGTTGGTGTTGTGTCGGACGCTGATGCATGACAGACACCAGACACTGATACATGTCAAACACCAAACACACATTTGCTAAGAGGTGTTGTAATATTTTTGTTATTATGAATGTTAGGTTAAGATTGGAGACTTAGGATTGGCAGCAATTGTGGGAAAGACCCATTCAGCGCATTCAGTTTTGGGGACACCAGAATTTATGGCACCAGAATTATATGAAGAGAGCTACACAGAGATGGTGGACATATACTCATTTGGAATGTTAGTATTAGAGATGGTGACACTAGAGATTCCATATAGTGAATGTGACAGTGTTGCAAAGATATACAAGAAGGTTTCTTCAGGTGTGAGACCACAATCCCTAAACAAGATTAAAGATGCAGAGGTTAAGGCTTTCATTGAAAAGTGTCTTGCTCAACCAAGGGCTAGACCTTCTGCTCAAGAATTGCTCAAGGATCCTTTCTTGGATGTTTTAGATGATGATGAAAATGATGATTATAATTCGGATACTTTGTGATTAAAAGTTACATCATTTTTTTGTTGTATATAAACTTAGAGTTGAATTTGATTACCATGAATGAAAATAAAATAGTTAGAATTGAATCTCCTATTATCTCTTAGGATGTAACAAGTTTGAACTTGCGTTCTCTTTGAAGCTTGAATTTAAAATTTTGAAATTTTATTTAAAATAGTTATCAAGTTTTGGATCTCAAGATTTTTATTTTTCAAATACCATCCATTTAATTAACTATCTTTAAAGATCAATATTGCAACAAATATTTGTTTTAATTATAATATTTTTTTAGTATTATTGTGCGACAATCAGCATAGAGATTTCATTTTCACCTTGTTCTAAACTAATGGCATTTCTCACGTATGTACACATATAGCTTCACATGAACATGACACTCATGAAAACCACCACTACGTATGTGAATGTCACACAAACTGTTACATTTAACAAGCTCTCAAGCACTATAACAATATTAAAATATAAACACAAATCACGCCCTAAACTATAGCATAATCCATCCCATCATAAATAGCTTCAAAGCTAATATGAATAAAAATAGAGATTTTAAATTGTCACCCCCACACTTATGTCTAACACCTCTTAATTTTAAAATTTTTAAAATATATTTGATATTATTTATCAACTAAAAATTATTTTTCTTTAAAATTTTTTGCTCTTACTAACATCTCAAAAACAAAATTTTCAATAATACAAATGAAATTTCCGATACATATTTTTTCAAATTTTTAGAAAATTTCGCATTTGTATCGGACTTTTGAAAATTACCGGTGAAGAAATACTGAAATTTTCAAAAAATTTGATATTTTCCTGATAAATCTTAAACCCGTACTAAAAATTGTCAAAACTTCTAAAAAAAACAAAAACTTACACAAATTTAACATTTTTTTGAAATACTGAAAATTTCAAAGTTTCTGATATATCGAAAATTTTATCGTGTACTCCAAATTTGCGGTAGAAGTGTAGAAAAGAAAAAAAATGCTTTATTTGTATGGTCCGGAGCCGACAGAGTAATTTACAGATTTGTGTGCAGATTTTACGTAGTTCTTCACCATTGACGCAATATATTTTTCAGTCTCTTTATGATATTGATAGTATACTTTTTATATGATGTACATGACATATATTTGAGTTTCGATCTGAAGTATTAGCATGGACACATAATATTGACAAACAACATGGTATTATTGTTGTGACTATTCGTTTTGATACTGTAAATGGCAAGCGAGGTAGAAAAGATAAATTGATTATGAGTTGTGAGAGAGCAGGAAATCATATAAGGAAGAATGTATCTAAAAATAATAAATTCTCAGAGGACATTTATAGTAGGAAAGTGAAATGTCCTTTTAGGTTGAGATCTACGTCGATCGAGTGGTAGCAGTTAGAAGGTGATAGTTAAGTGTGAGTTGCACAATCATAAACTATCTAAAGATTTAGAAGGCCTTAACATATTAGGTCGTCTAAAAGTTCATGAAAAACAATTTGTGAATGACATAACAAAGTACAACATGGCTCCACGGTACATATTTGCTGCTTTGAAAGATAAAGATCCAAAAAACCTCACCAGTGTTACCCAGGTGTATAAAGCTAGAGCTACGTACAATGCGAGCAAGAGAGGTCAATTGACGAAAATGAAAATGTTGTTAAGTCTTATTCATAGACAAAAATACATGTGCCAGACTAGAAATAGAGAAGACTCAAATGTTATTCATGATATCTTCTAGAAACATTCTGATTAAGTGAAGTTCTTGAATACGTTTCATTCGGTGTTGATTTTTGATTGTACATACAAGACAAATAGGTAATGTGCATCGTGATCATACAATGATATCTTTTCAACATACTTTGATATCATATTTTTTATTATGTGCATCGTGATCATATAGGTACCGCCTACCACTGCTTGAGATTGTTGGTATTACCTCAATGAAATTGACGTTTTCGGTAGGCTTTTCCTATTTGGAACGTGAAATGGAGAAGAACTTCAAATGGGCACCAGAGAAGATTAAAGAATTGTTCTCTTCCGAGAAATTGCTACTGAAGGTTGTGGTGGTGGACTAGGAACTTGCGTTAATGAATGCCATGGAAGTTGTGTTTCCAAATTCAACTCATTTGTTCCATTCATTTCATAGTTCAGAAAAGATTAGCATGAAATGTAAAGAGTATGTTAAATCAGAAAGACGAGAACATATCATGTATCTTTAGAACAACATCATGTATGCTAATAGAGAAATTGAGTTTGTCGCACACTTGAAGCACTTTGAAACTATTTGTATTGATATTACTTTATTTGTTAAGTATGTGAGTAAAACATGGTTGACACCTTATAAAGAAAGGTTTGTTGCTGCTTGGACTAACAGAGTCACTCATTAAGGGAACACAACAACGAACAGGTACACGGACATCATTTTGATGTTATTACATTACTAAACATAATTTAACATATATTATGGCTTTTAGGGTGGAGTCTGCTCTTTCGAGACTAAAAAACATGTTGACAACAAGCCGAGGAGATTTATGTCGTAGTTGGAATGTTGTGAACACCATGCTGAAGTTGTAGCTAGATTCGATTAGGGTTTCTTTTAAAAAAATTGTCAATATTGAGCATTGGTATAACACTTCATTCTATACCAATTTGCACAGTTTTGTTTCAAGGCAATGTAAACAACACATTAGAAAGGAACTAGAAAGGATAAAATTTGTTGGTGCAAGTAAAGATGCTTGTGGTCTCTTCATTAGAAAAATACATAGGTTACCTTGTGCATGTCAACTTACCGGTTCCAAATATAAGGCAATCATGTTCCTTTTAAACTAATTCATGTTTTTTGGGAAGAAATTACACATTGAAGAGCATGATGTCAGTCATGAAGAAAGTGGTACACAGTTGGATGTAGAAGCAGAGTGTGAAGAGTTGAAGACATATTTCCGCACTTTGGATATTGTAGGCCAGAAGTTGTTGAAGTAAAAGGTTCGAAAAATAACATATCCATCCATAACTTCTATGTGTCCACCGCCAGTGAAGTACAAGAAAAGTAGGAGAAATAAAAGGAGTAAAAAGGGTGAAGAGAATGATGTGCATCATGATCTTTCACAGTGGGAGTATGGTTAGGGGTCGCAGGGGAGTCAGACTACAAAGAGATCATGCACGAAACCAACTGGAAATCAACCGTCAAGTATGTCGAGTCAAAGTCAACCGTCCACTGCATCTTTTAGGCATCCTGCTTGTCTTTGTTTCATGTTTTCTGGCACCCATACATTTATGAGATTGTTGATGTAGGTGACGATGGAAATTTCAGTTTTCAGGCTATTACAACTTTACTTGGATAGGGATAAGAGTCATGGCCTTTGATTCGCACGCAGTTAGATACTCAAGTTCATCAACACCCTCAATTGCTTTCTAATTTGTTCTATGACACGGTCTCTAAACTTAGGTGTGCAGGGTACTAATAAATGGATGATGATTCTTGATATGGGTTACCTTATTACCTGTAGATAAAATGTCGCATTGCCTCCCTGTTAAAGAGACTTAATTTTACCTTTTTCCCTCTTAACTTAGCTTTATCTATGTATACGAGCAGACATAAAATTATTTTTGTTGGTTTTGTCAACAACAAACATTGGGTTCAGGTAAGTTGAAACTTGATAGTCCATTGTCTATCGTCATTGACCGTTGGAGACATAACTTTACTGAAGCTGCAAAAGCATGGGAATCAGCATATGCAGGACGAATTAGGTACTGGAAAGATGAAGTTAGGAAATCGTCCTAATTTATTTTGTAATCTTATATATATTATAGTTTTTATTATATGTATATATTATATGTAGTGTTTTTCTTTATCAAAACAACTATGCAGGTTTCTGTGAAAAATACCAAAATTTTAAGCATTTTTTGAAATACTATACACATACCGGAAAATTTTCGGAATTCCGAAAATTTTAAAAATTTTAGAATTCTAGAATTCCAGAAATTTTAAAATTTCCGGAATGTATAACCTCCTTCCATTCCATTCATATATCTTCATCAATTTTCAATAAAAAAAATCCAAATTTTAGAATGCATAACTATTCTAAAATTTGTCAACCTTCATAAATTTTTCTATTAAAAAACTCAAATCTAAAAAGATAGTTGCTTCTAAGATAATCAATCTTCATCATGTTTTTTTTCCTTAAAAATCATGATATGAACCCCAACTTTGTTGGGTTTGTTTTGGTGGACACAAAGCACTTATTTCAGTATATACAATATCTTTCTTCAAAAAATAGGATTTCAAAAAGCAAAGCAAGCAAGAGAAAAACTCAGATTTTAAACAATTTTTTATTCGGATTATTTTTTTTTTAAATAACATTGTTTTTCAATTAAGGTACTCAAATAACCAACATTTCAAATTATTTACCAAAGTAACCATGTTTTAAAAAAAATTGTCACAAAGAGGATGCACTAATGCTACTAGCACATACACTCTATTTTTAACCCATGAGTCATGGTCTCTTGGCACATGTACTAGTGTCATGTCAATGCTATGGGCGCATGCTTTTGGGACTTAAGAGGAGGCGATTGTACCCTTGGTGCTTATGTTTATTTGATTATTTTTTTATTAAATTAATAATAAAAAATGTTAAATAAAAAAATTAAATTATAACATTATTCCATATAATAGAATTACATAACAATTGGAGTAAATTTTAATGATCCGCTCGATCGTAACGCCCACCGGTTCCATACCCCGGTGCATTCCATGATTTTCTTGAGGTGTTTGAGGTCTTCTAGTATTCTCTTGAGCCTGAGGTGTTTGGTGCGAGACTCCTAGGATACTAATCGTATCTAACAAATTTTCGATCATATCTCTCCAATAGTCTGCGTTGCGGTAATCGTGTTTGATACCCATGTTGTCGTAATTGGGTCGTGTTAATTGAGTTACGTGTGGACGAGCTGGTTGGTTGAATTGAGACATTGATTCATTTTGGAAACTCCGTAATGACATCCA